TGGAAATTACACTTTCAAGTGCTGTACTCTAAAAAAATCTATCTTAATAGTTGTGTCAAATTTTATTCCAATTTACAGAGGAAGAAGGTTAAAGACCAGAGGAAAGATTTTTAACTTGCTCAACGTGGTGCAGCTGGTTAATTCTAGAAACTAGATCTCCTGTCTCCCAGGCCAATCCTATTTGCTAAATGAGAGGCCAGGAGCAAAAGTAATGGTTATCACCTAGGGATTTAAGGGCATGCATACATTGTCTTCCCAAACATCATCAGTTTGTGTTCCTGCCCGTCTCTTACTGGAGCCAAACATTTGTATTCAGATTACAACCTCTGATTAACTCCTATACTAGATATCCAAATATAGTGGCATTATGGGGTGTGGAATGCATCCCCCTAATAAGCACATATTCCCAACTTGGGTGATATAAGGCAGCTCAGGGAGTTAGTACCGAGGGTGAGATATAATGGCTCAAAGTGACAACACTCCACCCCACCCCACCCTACCCCCAGCCCAACTTCTCTATCCCCTTTTCCTAACAGGAGAAAGGATGTGAGAAAAATCAGCAAGCATCTGATGATGACCTAACTACACTCTCACCCATCCATCTGCTCAGCAGACTTCATGGCAAGAGCTCTCCTTGGAAGTGGTTAAAAGAGAACAACACCTTGCAAAGGGAAATAAACTTAAATGTTAAAACTTGACTTCCCTTGTCCTTTCACAAGTAATTACATTCGCGGTATATGCACTGCACTGACAGACTGTCTCTTTGTTCTGATTCGGAAATCCAAAATTCTCCACCAAAGTAGTTCAAGTCGGCCTGGATAGGAAAAAACCAAAGAGCACACTTTCAGACCAAATCAGTATTTAACTCCATGCCTGAAAAATGGAAAACCATAGTGAGGATGCCAAAATGTTTGACGTTGAAAGTAAAACATCAAGCGAACCTCACAGCAGTCACTTTTAAGACATTTCTGTCTATTTTATACAGCTTGGAACTTGCATTTATCAGATTTAGGGACTTTTTTTTTTTTTTTTTTTTTTAACAGCTTTACTGCTAGCACCAGGCATTTTTTCCCCTTTCCAGTTCAAGGGCCTCAGGAAGCATAATATAAAATGGAGGGGAGGGGGGGCAGACAACCCAATCTGGATTAAAAATCCTAGATCAGTCATTCCACAACTGTAGGACTATAAACAACTTAGATTTATTTCCTAGAACGATTGTGAGGGTTAAAGGAGTATGTGAGCAGTGGGGGGACTTGTAGTAGGTACTCAGAAAACATTCCCACTTCTGTCTTAAGCAGAATGGCTATGTTCAACCTCAGGGCAAGAAGGAAAAAAACTGGATAGAAATCGACTCAAATTAATCCCACACCAAAGCAGCTCCCGGTATCAGACATAATACTGCCCTAAACCATCACTTTCTAATCTGTCTTTTTGAATCTGTTTGCAGAGCAGCCTGATATCTGATATCACACAGAGATAGAGCAGCTAGGATAGATGGCTTCAAATTATCCTCTCCTCCGACATTTAAAGAGCAAATCCTTAGGACAGCTCCTTGACAAAGGCATTGGGGAACTTGTTTTAGTTGTAAACAAGGACTTGAAGCCAAAAATGAGTGAATGGTATAGAATGCCTAATGTAGAAAAAAGATTCTTGGGCAGAGACCATCAATTGTTCACCCCACACCGGAATAAACTTCTTACCATCATCTTCGGAAACAAAGGGCAATGGAGTGTGTATGTGCATGTTTGTGTACTCCCAACATTTAGGCAATGTTTAATACAGTGAAGAGCCACATGGATACTTAATTATAAAAGCATAGGACCCAAAAAATACATACACACCAATGTTACCTGTAAAATACATGCCATATACACACCCTAAAGGAATAAAGGCAGATGACTGAATTTATAATTTATGAAACACTTCTATAGACCAGTTTAACAAAAATATTACAAGCGTGTGCACAAAGGCATATCACTTTACTGCTCTACCTGAAAGGTACATACAAAGATGCGAACAGTTACATGTATACACGGAGTAATGTTTCCCCACAAGTATGTTTTATAACTACTGTGACAGTGCTGAAGACAGGAAAGAGTTTAAGGAAAGAAACTCTCCTTAGGAAGATTAAGCTCCTCAGATTTGGATCCAATTTTTACTAGTCTTTAATTACAGGAAGTTCAGGAGTTCAAATCTATTTTAAAAAATTTTTTCCTATAAAAATTACTATTTTTAAAAGTTTACCTCCACTGATCTTAATTTCACAATCTCTTACTCCCTCCTTTCCTCTTTCCATTCATGTCTTTTAATTTTTTAGAGTTATACTATTTAAACTAGATTGATGAAGGGGTAAGGAAACAGTCACTGAGTAGGTCTGTTCTCAAGGTTTGCCAGAAATAGATGGACTTGTCATTTTAATTCTTATTTACTCCTTCCCAATGCTTTATGTATTCCAGAGCTTGAGAGTGTAATTGTTTTCCATGTCTGAAATGTCTCATTAATTATTGACATAAGCCATACTTAACTTACAATGAGGTACTTGTATGCTTTCCCGTACAGTATTACTATCGAGTTTTCCTTCCAAATCATATGTACGTTTATCAAAGAGGGAAATAAAGCTAGTATCATTAATGCCAATATAATTCCCTGTGGCTCAGGGTAAAGAATTTTCTCCACATATATGCTTTAAAATCTGCCACCTAAAATGTGTCCTTCTACCTTGATCTCTAGAATTAAATGGTTTGAGTTGATTTCTTACGCAATTCACGAAGAAAACCAAAGCTGAGAGCATCACATGTACAACTTCAGAAAACAAAAATGATCCTAAGAGAAATCACCTTCACTCTGGATGTCTATTAATGCATAATGAAGACTCCTTTTATTTCCTCTTGTAGGTTTCCAAAGAGCAGCTAGAGCCCAGTAGGCAGAGTTACAGTAACCACCACATCAACTTCCAAGTCCATTACTCACAAGGCAGCCCCCAAGCTGAGACTTCCCCAAAACCTTTGTATCGATTCAAAAAGATCAGCCTGTTATCGTTTGGTTTTGTTTTTTATTGTGAGGGCCTTAGAATATCATCAGCAATTAAGAACCACATCCAGCAATTGTGTGTGACACACAGTAGAGTAAAAGTAACCACAACAGCCAACCATTGCCCCAAAGAGTCTGTGATGCAGAATCATCAATGTGACATACCAAGTCTGTGACTGCTAGACTTAAGAGTAACACAAATCTACCATGCTAATGATGAAACATTTTTCTAAAGATTAATTCATATCATGTGTTATTAATCAGCAGCATAACTGAAAGCTCATGCAAAACACGCTATCCCAATTGAGAACTTAATTGCATTATTGTGATCTGGTTTTCCTGTGTCACTGGCCCTTCCATTTTAAGTACCCACGTTCGCGCACACCCCACCACAGGATGAAACGACAGAAAACCCAGAGCTAGGAGGGAAGAACCATCTGTCTGGAAGGATGAGGATTTTTGAATAAAAACGTCTGTCTCTGGAAAGACAGGTCAAGTATGCACCCAGGCTGCCTTGAGAAGTAATTAAGCCTATGCTGTTTCATTTCAGTGTGTCCCATCTTGCACAACGAGGGGAGCAGCTGTGGGAGATCACAGAAGATGCAAAGCAAGACAGGCGGCCTCATCTATTTCCCGACTGCCACACCAGAGTTTCCGGGTGGCGTGAAAAAAGCTGTTGCCCTCTGTTGTCTCCAAGAGCACAAAGCTCACCTAGCATCCAAAACATTATACCCCCTATCAAACCTGCCCTTTTAAAAGGCCTGAAGAAAGGCAAATTTAAATGTCCCAGTTGGCGGCGTCCAGGCTCAGGACCGTTCCCAAAGTTGGGAAGTTACACACCAAGCACCCGCAGGCAGACACAAATTTGGCTGCCTTTGAGCACAAGTTTCTCTTACTGCCTGGCCTCGTAGAGTTGAGAGGTAACTGGCTTTAAAAAAAAAAGGTAAACGTACAAGTGTAAGGAATAGGAACGCGTCGGATCTTGCCTGTTTCCCTTCCAACATCCCTTTAAGGAGGCTGGGTCACTAAAAATCGGAAGTCTGGGGACCAGCTGTAGTCCAGACTCCGGCTGGGTCTAGGGGAGGCCGCCACACCCTCCGGAGCTCAGCGCACTGACAAGCTGTGGCTGGGAGGGGCGCAGAAACTTAGTCCCAGCGGGAGAAGGGAGAAAGAAGGGAGTCTTCAGTGCCTCGGCTTTAAAAAGCTAAAAGCAAATTTCGGTAGGGAGCCGGGGATTTGGCTATGTGTGCCGGGGTGGAGGGAAGGGGTCGCCCCTGATGGCAGAACAACTCGAAACACGTCCCCGCAAAACTGCACATTCTTGTGGTTTAGGGTTTAAGACCAAAAGGAACGAGCTGAGGCAGAGCTCCTCTCCCGCCGGGGTGTCAGATCCCGCCCCTCGCAGCCTAGGGACCCGGGCGCCGCACTGCCGCGGGTTGTCTTATCTTTCCCCGTCCGGCCAGCTCCCCTCCGCCAAGCCGCCACGCCGCCTCCCAAGTTCGCCTTCGCGCGCCTCCCGCTGCCGGCCGCATGCACCCAACCACCCGGGACCCCGCACGCCGGACGGTCCGCAGGGACCTGGGGTTTGCGGGGATTTGGGCCGGGGGGCGGGGGCGGGTGTTGTTTAACAAAAAGCCTTAGCGGCTCGTCGCCCCCTTCTCCCGGGCCCGCGCCACCTTCCCTTCACGCCCACGCCGCACCTCCCCGGCACACGCGCTGCGTGGTGCTTCTCCCGCCAGACAATGGGCTCCGGGCTGGCCAGGCAGCCCGCCCCGAGCCCCCGGCCCCAGCCCGGGACCCCGAGAGGGCTGAACGCGGGTGCTGGAGGAGAGCGGAGACCAGGAAGGCTGGGGAGGCCACAATGGGGAAGGTGGGCGCCTCCCCCTTGGGACAGGAGGCTCGCTCCCGGCGCAGAGGAGGGGGCGGGGGTCAGCTGCGCCTCCCCGCCCGGAGCCCCGCCGCGCACTTACCAGCACGATGGCAAATCGCTCTTCCAGTTCACCTGGCTCGGGCATCGGCAGCTTCAAAGGCACGTTGTGCGCCCTGAAATCGGTCTGCTGCGAATCCATGCTCCCCGCGTTGCCCATGTTGGCTGCACGCCGGGGCCGGGGGCTGCTCCGGGCCCCTCGCACTCGCTCCGGAAATCAGAACAGCTCCCGGCGGCCGGCTCCCGCCCGATGGCGCGACCCGCCCGGCTCCCCGCTCTCGGCTGCGCCCCGGCGAGTGTGCAGCGCGCACTGCTTCCCTAGCAGCGCTCCGAGCCGAGCCGCCCCCCGGCCTCCCTCATGCTCTCCACCGCCCCAGCGCCGCCCCGGCCTCTTTTCCTTGGGAGGGGTCGTCAGGGCGCCGGGCGCCTATCTGCATGTTGCTCCTCTGGCACGCCGCCCCCTGCCCGCGATCGCGGCCAGCTGGCGCGTGGCTCCTCGGGCTCGGTGTTCGCCGGGCCGCGGCCGCCGCTGACACTTGCAGCCCACGGCCGGCGAAAACAACGCTCTTTCGCGGAGCACCTCGAGCAGACAAATGCGGCTCCGCGCTTGCGACACAATGCCCCCCTCGCCCGGCCCCCCCGCCCCCGGCCCGGCTCCGCCCACTCGCCCCGTGGACTGCCGGGACGCGTAGTTTCGGCCCAAAGTGTCCGCACAGCAAGCCACGCCCACTCTGGTGGGCCGAGCTGGGTTAGCACGGCTTGCAGCGGAGGCAAACTGCACGATTCTGACTATGGCTTATGTCCCTTTAGACCCCTCCTCACTCCAACAGTAGAAATAACTATCTCCTCTACGTCGGTTCTGGCACTTAGAAGGCACACCTGACAAATGAATGAATGATCCAATCAATCGGTGATTGAACGCAAGCATTCTGGGTTAAATTTCAGAAGCTTGTTACTGTTCAAAAGGCTCTAGTTTAACAGGTGGCCTGAGAGGTTTTGGCGATGTCCTGTTTCACGAATTGGGAAGTGGGTCCATGGGTGTTTGTTTTATTGTTCTTCCTTATGTAACATTTTTTGTGTGATTGAAATGCTTTCTAAACAAATATACGCTTTTATGGGGGTTTTTTGTAAATATTCATTGTAGATAAATGCATATGTGGTCAAACCCTAGAAGTTGGAGGAGAAGGGCTCAATTCGATTCAAAACACCGGTCAATAACTATTATGTATGGGTAACTGAGTTCCTTCGTGGAATTAAAAGAGGATCGCTCCTGCTCTGGAATACTTCACAATGTGGTGAAGGAGAAATTTTACACAAATAACTGTATTTCGTGTGAGGTAGAGAGGAGGGCAGAGAATTTGGGGAGGCTTTGGAGGTGATATTTGGCTGTAGCTACCTTATTCCTCCATAGCAGTCTTGATCCAGGTGTTTTACAAAAAACGTTGGACCCAGCCTTATCTCTGGGATGCTTTCCAGATTATTACTATCCATTTTAAAGCAATGGAAATAGAACCACCCTTATAAATGACTTTAACCAGGTGCCCATGTTGTAGCTTTCAAGGGCATTTACCTGGTTGACTTGTGGCTGAACAAGTCCTTTCTGCGCTTAGAGCAGTGTTTCTTAATCCTGATTTGTTTATCAGATTCACTTGGGGAGCTTGTTGTTGAAATTCCACCCACCTTGGACCCAGCCTATTATTCAGAATTTCCCTGAGCTGAGAGCTGGAGCATGGGCAGGTATATTTTTAACAAGCTCCCCAGGTCATTCTGATATGCAACCAAGGTTATTACCCGCTTGTTAAAAAAGCAACTGCTTCTGGAGAAGGTTACACACCAAGACCAGTCATCAAGGACCATATTTTTCATTCAGCTTCATAAAGCCCAAGATGCCTTGAGCATAGCAGATGTTCAATGACTAGTTGTTGAATTGACAACTGAGTTTTACCAAAAGTCTATGGAGCAAATACACACAATACTTCGTGTGTGGGTATCATCTATTAAATAAAACACTTCTTGTCTTTTTAAACAGAAGGAAAGGAGGATAAATAAATTCAAATTAAAAGTCTGAATAGATGCAATCTATTTCAAAACTATACTGTATCAAAGTTAATGGTAAGCGTGTTGCCCATCAAAGAAAGAAAAACAAGGATATAGATACATACACACAGATACCCCGACTAGTGAAAATGAGTGAGAAAGAAAAGCAGTTAGTTCAAACCAAGTGAGACATTTCTGACCCACAAATGTGTTTGTTTTCTTTCCAATCTCTAGACATATACTTTGGATCTGATTGACAGAAAATCAGCCCACCCAAGGGGTTGACTGTTCGGATGGAGAGGCTAGAATTCTTTTCGGCATTTGAGAAATCCTTTTTTATTACACTTATGGCTCCCTCTGGCCATATTTCTGCCAGTAACCAGGACCTTTTTCTCCCCTTAAGTCTTATCACATCTAGCCTCTCTCATAATCTCACACTTTGAGAGGAGCCAAGGACAAAGTGTGCAAATCCATGAACCAAAAGAACTCAGCCATTTCAAGGTCTGCAATCTTTAATATTTGGTGATTATTTATGAGTGTTATTAAGTATAAAAATAAACAAAACACGGGGAGCCTGGGTGGCTTAGTCAGTTAAGCGTCCGACTTTCGCTTAGGTCATGATCTCGCGGTTCGTGGGTTCGAGCCCCGCGTCGGGCTCTGTGCTGACTGCCAGCTCAGAGCCTGGAGCCTATTTCAGAGTCTGTATCTCCCTCTCTCTCTGACCCTCCCCTGCTCACGCTCTCTCTCTCTCTCTCTCTCTCTCTCTCTCTCCTAGAAATAAATAAAAAAATAAAAATTAAAAAAAAACACTCTGTTATATTGTATAATTTCTGTAAGAATTTCTATCAAACAATATTTGGAGGAGGGAGAAGTGAAGGAGGAAGAAGACATTTCCTTGATATTAACACTCTTACACCCTCCCCACAAAATTTAAATTGGGTGATCATTTTTAAATATGTATTTCATTTTCTGATTACTAAGACATACAACTTGTTATAGCTGATGTTGCAAAATATCGGTAAAAAAAAAATCAACTATCTGTTAAAACTATCCATTCACCTTCCACGGAAAAGGAAATGTTAGAACTTTATATTCCATGTACTAAGCATTTGCAAGTTATGCCAAGGATGGCTTGATCAGGAATTTCCCCATAACGGTGTAATTGCTTTCAAAGAAGCTCTTCCATCATTCAAAATAAATACTCCCACAAGGTCAGCTGAGTTTCATGAGTATCGCCTCAAGTTTTAAATGTAAGGAAGTGCTCTATCGCTAAGTTCACTTAGCTTCTTAAAAAGACACTGGTGTAAGAAGATACTCCTTGTTTGTATAATTATAAGAAATGGGATAAGCACCCTATCATGAACAAAGCCATCAGTAACCCTGAATCAAAACTATGAAGTAGTAATAGCTGGGATTTTAGAGGAATTGCTTTATGTCAATTTACATCCACAAGAGTCCTGAAAGATTTATCTAACTATATTTATTTTTTTAAATATTTATTGAGCACTTAGTGTGAACCTGATACTCCTATTGATCTTAAAGTTTAAACATGGTTTATTCAGTTTCTAAACCCAAGTAATAATGGCTTCAATAATATATTTTTTCTCATTAAATATGAAATCTGGAAAAATGTGGATGCTAGTGCTGGTTCAGCAACTTAGGAAGGCTAGGACCAGTATTTATGTGATGGCTTTGTCTTTCCTACATACTTACAAAATTGCTACAGTGCCATGAATCAAGTATGTGTCCAGGACAGGGGCGCCTGGGTAGCTCAGTCAGTTAGGCGTCCAACTTCGGCTCAGGTCGTGATCTCATGGTTCTGAGTTAGAGCCCCAGCCCCACGTCGGGCTCTGTGCTGACAGCTAACTCAGAGCCTGGAGCCTGTTTCAGATTCTGTGTCTCCCTCTCTCTCTGACCCTCCCCTGCTCACACACTCTCTCTCTCCTTCTCTCTCTCTCTCTCTCTCTCTCTCTCAGAAATAAAAAATAATAATTTTTTTAAAACATTAAAAAAAGTATGTGTTCAGGACAAATAGTCGGGAAGAGGCAATTTCAGGTCTGTTTAGGGGTCTGTTCCTTTTATCAGGAAGTCAGAAGTCCATTTTTCCTCATGTTCTAGAACTGAACGAGACAGTCATTCCTGGCTACAGGAAGACCTGTGGGAGTGAGATGAAACCTGGGGAGCGTCACTTTTCAGCATCTGGATAGAACCAAGATTTGGATAAAAGGTAAAGGGAATAGATATGGGTAAGAAATGGGGAAACAGCAACACCTTCTAACCACCCCCCCACCACCACATTTCACATCTTTGAATATGACTTTATATTTGCATAGGATTTCATATTCTACAAAATACTTTTACTTGCTTGATCTTATTTCATCCTGTCAATACAACAGCAAGGAATTTAAAACTCAACAAAGTGTTTTTTCTCTAGTTTATACAAGTAACAGAGTTACAACTTATGTATTTTGATTCCCAAACCAGTATCCTTCACTGCTTTAAAAAAAAAAAAAAAAAAAAGTTCTCTTGGGGCATCTGGGTGGCTCAGTCAGTAAAGTGACTGACCCTTGATTTTGGCTCAGGCCAATGATCTCACAGTTTGTGAGATGGAGCCCCACATCTCGGGATTCTCTCTCTCCCTCTCTCTCTGCCCCTCCTCCTCGCTCAAAATAAATCTTAAAAAAACTTTTAAAAAGTGGTTTTCTGGGGCGCCTGCGTGGCTTAGTCGGTTAAGCGTCCGACTTTCGCTTAGGTCATGATCTCGCGGTTCGTGGGTTCGAGCCCCGCGTCGGGCTCTGTGCTGACTGCCAGCTCAGAGCCTGGAGCCTGTTTCAGAGTCTGTGACTCCCTCTCTCTCTGACCCTCCCCTGCTCAC